TGCAAAAAGAGGTCCAGAGGATCAATACTGAAATATCAGAAATGGACAATACACTGAAAGGACATATGAGTAGAACTGAAGGGATGGAAGTTGGAATTAGCAAGCTTATTAGAGAAGACAGATCTCTCAGTGCTTATTAGAGAGAACAGATCTCTCAATACTGCTATATAAAAGAACAAGCAGAAAAGAGAATAAAGAAAATCTGAAGAAAGTCTGAGATTTATGTGGGATAACATGTAGAGGAGTAACCTGTGGGTGACTGGAGTTTCAGAACAGGAAGAAGCAAAGAAAACCACAGAGAGAATCAGAAAGTTACTGGAAGAAATTTTTCCTTACATCTTGAAAGCCAAGAAGACAAACATTCGAGAAGCAGAATGGACCCCAGGCAGGATACACCCAAAATAAAATAACCAATACATAACATAGTCAAACTCTCCAAAATCAAAGACAACTAAAGATTCCTAAAAACTGCTAGGGAAAAAAAGAAATGCCACCTACAAAGACAAGCCAGTAAGATTTAGCTCTGATCTTTCAGCAGAAACCATATAGTCAAGAAGGCAATGGGGAGACATACAGAAAACTCTGAAAGAAAAAAACCTGTCAACCAAGAATTATACACTCAGCAAAGTTGTCTATTAAATATGATGGCAAAATTAGAGCATTCCAGGATAAACAGAAATTAAGGGGTTTTGTAAAAGTCAAGACAGTGCTTCAAAAACATACTCCAAAGCAGTTCTTTGGACTGAGGATCAAAAGAGAAGACAATAAACAGAGATTGACATATGTGGCAATACCACCTGAACTTAGTCCAGAGATGGAAGAGTCCAGAATAGAGCAAAACTACAAGAATGAAATTAGACATCAGTGAAGTCAGTCTATGATCTGAATAAGTATAATTGTGAAAGAAGGGAAAAGTATGAGACCCAGGTGGTGTAGATGTCAGGTAGAATTCTGGAGAAAACGGACTATTTTAAAAGAAGGAAGCAATAAATAAAACATAGGGTAACCTCAGAGAAACGTAACGCATCACATCATGTCAAGAAATAGAAAATCCAAGACGATTTTGGAAACATAAAACTATGAAGTAATTGACAATAAAAAGGACACAAAATGAACTCAGCACAGCAAGCCATACAGAACCAAGAAAAGAGCATCATCTACAAGAAACAAAAATAATGACATCAATTAATTCCTATCCATCAATAATTACACTGAATATCACTAGATTAAGCACATCAGTCAAGAGACAGAGAGTGGGAGATTGAATAAGAAAACAGGGTCCTTCAATATGCTGTTTACAAGAGACATACATTACATATGAAGACAAAAACAGATTAAAAATTAAAGGACAAAAACTATATACCAAGATAATTGCAGTAAAAAATGAGCTGGTGTGGCAATACCAATCTCTTATAAAATAAACTTCAAGGTAAAAGCTACAAAAAAGTACATTATCTCATGTTTAAAGTGTCAATTGAACAAAAGGACATAACCATAATAGACAACTATGCTTCCAGTGAAAGTGACTGAAAAGACATAAAGTAACCCCTGATAGAATTGAAGAAAGAAATACACAGCTCTACAATATCGTGGGAAATTTTAAGACACCGCTTTCAAAAAAGAACAGAATAACCAGAACGAAACTCAACAAACACACAAAAGAACTAAACAACACAATCAACCACTTGAATTCATAGATTCATATAGAGGATTCAACCCAACAACAGCACAAAACACGTTCTTTTCCAGTTCACATGGAATATTCTCGAGAATAGACCATGTGTTAGGTCACAATGCAAATCTCCTTAAATTTAAAAACATCAAAATATTACAAAGCATATTCTCAGATCACAATGCTAAAAGTTAGCTATCAATAATAGGAAGATCAAGGAAAAAAGTCAAACACATGGAAAGTGAATACCACTTTGCTTAAAAGCTATATCGTCACTGAGCAAATAGAAGGTAAAATTAAAAAATTCCTAGAAGCAAATGAGAATGAAAACACAATATGCCAAGACCTTTGGGACACAGCAATAGCAGTGCTGAAAGGATAATTTACAAGATATCGAAAAAGAAGTAAGAACCAAAATAAAAACATTAAGACAACATCTCCAGCAATTAGAAAAATACCAGCAAA